AAAAAATACCTACAAGAAACAATGTTTTTCCTCCTCTGTGAGAGTTTGTGAGACTGGGCTGTTTCCTTGCCAGAATTTCTGGTGAGATGTGGTGGAGGGTTGTGGTTTAGATGAAGAACAGACTGAAGAGGTGTTAAAGTATGCATATTTCTTCAAGTGAACGGGTTGAGAGGCAAGGAAATGAAAGGGGACAGGACAGACCCATGGAGGAGGAGAATGGTTAGGTATCATTCCTCTTTTGCATGAATGAAACTCCAGGCTTCAAATGCCTTCACAGTGTTTGGATGGGATTCTGACCTCACCAGCATCACAGTGATGTGACGCCACTCAAGGATGGTAATCTTGATTTATGACAATGAAATGGAATTGGACCCATTACAATGTCACTCCATTCTTCCGCATAAATACCCTGTATTTTGTTTATTAAATTGTCAACCACTCAACTATCCCTAAAGTAAAAATACTGACATATACCCTTCTGACATCACTCCAAGCTAGCTGGGTGACACACCTGTGAATTCTGTGTCTGACCCAGAAAACTTTCTATATACAGAACTTGGAGTAAACACAACCTGAGTCTGATGCACTTTCATTGGTAACTGTCTCAAGCTTTGCCAGTTTGGAGCTTCAGTTTCCATCATGGATTAAATAGGTGTTGACAGAAAATTCATTACTGGGCCAGATTTATATTTGCACATAACATACACAAGAGCTTGTGCACATATCATGTGCACTCTCTCTCTCTTTCTCTCTCTCTGTCTCTCTCTCACACACACACACACACACACATGCGCGAGATATAGATATATATATGATGAAAGATGTCACTAGGAAGCACCACAGTGAAATATAGTACATCCGTTCTGTGTGTTACACCTTGAATGACTGTAATGGCTGTTTTTAGTGCAGTGTTGGCCCATGCCAACTACCACATCTACAAGACATCCTTCTAGGAAGTCTTGTAGATGCACATGTAGGGAGGCATTCTGTGTTTCACTGTGGCACTCCCCCACGTGGTCCTTTGACTGAATAGACCTCTTTTTGCAAGATATTTTGGTTTAGTTTCCTTATTTCCAAACCTACCCTGGGGACCAGGGATATCATAACTTTTCCATTTTCATGCCTTCGGTCTTGGCCCTGTCTCTGCAAATTCTTACACTTGATTGGCTGTAAGAATATGAGGTGCCCACTGATGCTACTATTTCTTCTGTGCAGTAGTTTGTTACAGTGCCACTAACCCTGGCATTGCAATTATGGGATGCCTATCCTGGCTGCTCTGTTATAATGTGCACATAGTCATCTTTGGTTTCTATTTTTGCATAAAAGTGATTCACAGCATGGAACATACTGTACTTCAAAAGAAAGGGAATAGTTCGATAGTGTGTTAGGAGACAGGCAACAGCTCATTGCTGTGATTCAATGCATGTCTGAAGCAGGCAGTCCAGAAATGGGCCATGTGCACAATTAGCCACAAAATCTGTAAGCTATAAAAGAAGAGCCTTCAGTCTCACCATGAGAAACTCCATCATGCTGCTTGAGACAAGGGAAGGTAATAATGCACAGTGGGCTGACATGTCAACATTCATTGGACACCAGCTCATGATAACTTCATAAGCAGACAGGTCTAGCTGAGCATGGTGTCTCTGAAACTGAAAACTGCTATCATTGATTTAAAAATGTATGTGATAGCACAGGGCCTGATCATTTTGATTACATTTCTTCTAGGCAAGGCTGTGGTCCCATTATCCCTTATGTTGGCACACGAGAAGGGCGAGGGAGTAATGAGCTGTTCACCTACCACATAATGGATGGCAGAAATACATCAGGATGGCAGAAATGCCACCCCATACTCCAGGGAGTTCAGAGGCTGCTCCCAACATATTTCCCCTGGGATCCACTTGGCAAATGGAAGGCAGCAAATAGGCAGAGACATACCAAATTACTATTCCTTCAGCACCACTGGAAAATGAAGAATATGTGGTGCATAGAGCTCATTTGGAAGATGGAAGGAGGCTTATATCAAGCTGTAGGATAGGTCTGTGGTGGGACCTCCCCCAGAAAAGTTTTGGAAACTTCTGCCACTTGATGTAAACTGGCAGGCTTCAAAGGCAAACCATTTGCTCTTTGGAATGATACGTATGAGCCCCAAGGTTCATCACTGTTGGCCATCTTTGCAGTAGCCAGAGGCAGGGTGAGCTCCACCTCAGGGAACCCCCCTCAGCCCTCTCCTCAGTTTGTGAGCAGAATATTTATTAACGCTCAGTTTCTGGAAGCCCTGAGACATATGGGGAAATAACTTTGGTCAGATAGACCTTCACATTATCAAGGAGTGCCTGCTGAAAAAGCAATTTGTTACTGCTGACTCACTGGTTGAGAGCCAATATCAGCAGTGATAATACCTTTCCTTCCCCCTTCAGGAATTCATGCCTAACTCTGTCACAAGCCAGGAGTATTTTTCACAGGAAATACACTCTTTTCTTTGGGATTAATTATTGTTGCTTACAGCCAGTCCAGATTTCAGATTTCGGTAGCAGACTGAAAGAGGATTTTCAGCTACAGAAAGAAACAGCTCCTTAAAAACCCAGTGTAGCTGCTCGGGGTTGATTTGAAGATAGAGCAAGGGACTGTGTTTAGTGCAAATTATCAAGGGATAGACTTTCACTGTTAAATAAATGTTAACCTTTTATTTGAAAATCCTCCAGGATCTCATTAACTTCTCAATGCCAGGTGGCCCTTTGTGATAGAAGAGCCATTCTGTGTAAACAGCGGCTCCTTAAATGAGTTATTGATACTGCTGCCATACAATATTTTGCAACAAATGAGCTGTAACATCCTTTAGACTTGCACTCCCAGCTCTGGAATTTCAACCAAAACCTGTATGCTCTACTGATGAATTAAGTCGGTTTGGCTGCTGTTCAGAGGATGGTTTTATACTTCCTGCCTATTTAATCATGTAGCTATTCTGTGCTAAAATCATTCTTGTTTAACGTCAAGCTAATACATACTTTGATCAATAACGTTAATATCGAAGGGTTTTGCTCATCTATCTTGTGTAATCTCATAAGGAAGTGCTCCTCTTGTAGATCTTAAGCTAGGGTAATGTACAGAAATGTACTAGTACGCGCTGTGGCAGTCGTGTACACAGTTACATTTTCAGTTTCATAATTACACAGCAACATACTGTAAATGGCTTAAAGCATACTTATGGGGGGGAGAAATGGGTTTTCTAAAAACAATGTCTCAGTGCTCTGTGTTAATTCTGGCTCATGAAGAGAAGAGAACAGAACAGAACAGAACAGAGCAGCACAAGTTCTGCTTTCCAGTTGGCTATTGTATATTGCTATTAATTGTTAGGAAAACCTAGGTGCTATCAGAGCTGTTCCGTTATTGCACCCCCTCTAAGTGGGTGTCCAGGGCTTGTGTCATTACAGTACCCCTCATTACAGTACTGAATGCTGTTAACAGTTCTGTGTCTACCGGCTGTTCAACTTCTGTACTCATACAATGGGAATTGTTTGTATTGTGTACTTATGCAGTTTACATTTTCATGTGTTATTCCATGTTTTTAATAGCAATGATCCTGATAGTTAATGATTGGCTGGATTAAGATCTCTTGAGTTTCACCTTATGTCCTTACCTCCTCCAGA